ACACACACACACACACACACACACACACACACACACACACAACACACCACACAAAACACACACACACACAGTAACTGGAATCTTAAAGCAGATGTATCATACTCAGTTTAACTGGAAAGATATCACTCGACTGTTATTCACAGCTGGATTTGTGCACATTTATTTCTGTAAAGTAAATAAAACTGCTGCAGTTATTATTACTAGTATAATGTTGTTATTTGCAGAGTAATCAAAGTGCAATACGCCGAAATGTAAAACAGCAATATTTCAAATTATAACATTTATTATTGTGAATATACAATATAATCATATATTCAAGACAATGAGAGATCAAACTTGATTCATTCATTTGTCTTTTTTCAAAATAGGTTGTCAATTGTTTTTTTGACCCATGCCAATAATAAGTGTATGTGGTGGTCTTTCAACCAGAAGGTTGTGGGTTCGATCCTAGCCCATGCAGTCAACATGTCGATGTACACTTGGGCAAGATACTTAACCTTGAGTTGCTCCCGATGGCATGGCCAACGGTGTGTGAAAGGGCCTAGAGTAACATACACGTATGAATGGGTGTGAATGGGTGAATGACATGTAGTATGTAAAGCGCTTTGAGGGGTCTTAAAGACTGGATAAAGCGCCATATAAGTACAGTCCATTTACCATTTACAACAACATCTGTAGATTTTCTTGACCTGTCGAGAACCATGTCTTTCAGTAAATTAAAAAAGATGTGGTTTTAAATGGACAGGGCTGCTTTTTTGCAGAGTAAACTTTAATGACAAACTCATACACTCACACACACAGATCCCAAACAGCTGGATAAATCTTGATTCCCGGCATGGTGACAACAGACAGGGGGCGAGGGCTTAGTGTGGGCTCAGTAAGGTGCTCCACCAGGGGGCAAAGACCACCCGTCACCCCCGGAGCCACAGTCAGACCAGAAACCTATCACTGGAGGTCTGTTGCCACAATACAACAGGTTGTGTCTCTGTCTCATTTAGATTTGACCCTTAAGTCATATTTTTATTCTAGAGAAAAGTTTAATTACGGGATTCCCCATTTGCTCTATAAACATGCCATGTCACACTCTCTGTCCCTTTTGGACTAGCTGCAGTGCTAAAACACACACAACCAATCAAGCTCAAAGTAACACCTTTACATCAAGGGAAAGCTGGCTGGGGGTCGGCAGAAGGGGGAGGCAAAGGAGATAAAGTATATACTAGTTGAGTAATTACCCACAACTCAATTCTCCCCCACCTTAGCTCAGGTTGGGCTAAGCTGCTTGGCTGAACCAGCATGAGTCCTCACACTTCAACAGGTGTGGGGAGAAGTAAGAGGGAAAGGGAGTGAATGATGAAACACAAAAAGAAAGAGAGTCTGAGCACCTGTTTTGGACTTCCATGCCTCCCTTATTGCAGGCCAAGGCTTGTCCAAAACAACACATTACAGTCGGACTGCCTGTTCAGCTATGTGAAGTACAACTGGGTCAATTTTCAGAGGTTAGAGGTAAACAGGAATGAGGGAGGAACAAATCAAAGAAGACCAGTGATTATATGGTCAATAATGACTGATAGCAGGTAGTAAATCGAATTGAAATGCGAGAGATTTTGTGTCACCTTAAGTGGTCAGACACTCCTGGTCCAAGCTCAAATGTGTATGTTTTTAATACAAATTAAAACAGTATTCACCAGATATAATAATGGTTTACAGAACTTGCTAAATCTCCACAGCGGGACCAGACAGACAGTATAAAGGGAGAATTAGCTGAATGGCACAAACCCAATATAATGCACCAGTCCCATATTGTCTTCAACGCTGATTTACTCTCTGAAAATGTAACATTACATTAACATTAAAGTTAACGCTTTTTTTCGTTTTGTTTTTTGTTAAAGTGCAGGGATGTGCAATAGAACATAATCTGCTTTATTTCAGCATTACTTTACATTGTTCTCCACACCCAAACATGCACAACAAATCACCCGATCTGCAAGGGACCATATCAGGGGTCCAGAGGTTCCTTGCACCACGTCTTGAAGCCCCCACCATACACAGCATGCCTACAGAGCTCACTGTGGCTCATTAACCTCCTAGCAGGGGGGAGAGGGGGTTGGGGGGGGGGTCAGAGGGCATCAAAGTGGCAGGATCACTGCCGACTGGCCCGGCAATCCTACCATGGGGGTCTGGAGCCGCAGCGTCTCACCCCCTAATGAGAGGCCATGACATGCACACATCTACACACAGTTTGACCCCTCAGGACCAGCTGGAAAAGAGAGTCTGACATGCCTGTCCTAACCCTCCTCTCCCCCCCTCCCACTCCCCTCATCCAGTCCTCTCCCTAACTCCACAAATTCCAGCTTGTAGTCACCACTGGCCGGCTCATGTCGCAACAAATACACCTACATCTAGACAGGGAACCCAGAAGGAGAGAAAGTAAATAATGCTTATCATCATTATAAATGTATCAGCCAAATATCTTCCCATTTTCCTGATTAGATTTTTGGCCTATAAAATGTTAAGCCTAGGTTATGTCTTTACATTGCTTGTTTCTTAAAAACAATAATCAGCATTCTACATTCAAAAGAAAGGCTGCAAATCCTTACAAGTTAAAAAACAAATGTTCAGTACTTAAGCTTGACATTTGTGTTAAACAAACCATAATTCATTCAAAATGGTTGCTGACACATTTTCTGACCGTTTCTAATTTAATGACAAATATTGAACTCAATTTGGTGTTGACGATCAATTGTCAAGATCACGTTTGAAGGGGATTCTTTTCCCTGGCGGCTTATGCTCAGACCACTATGAAGTGTCACAATTAATACAAATGTTTGATTTTTTACAGCTGGAAAATAATCCAGTAATTTGTCTTCTCTTGTGTTTTGGAGCTGAGATAAAGAGACAATTAGATAGATTTAGCGTTCGTGAGGTATCATTGACTAGCGACAGATAAAGAGAGAAAAAACAAAAACACACCTTTCTGTCAATCAACACAACTGATGGCAAGAGGCACATACATTGAGAGGCATGGAGGGAGAGGGTGTGAGTCAGGAATGAAAAGGGGGGGCTTTGGGATAGCTTTCTGCCAGAAAGGCAAGTGCAGCAGCGGCAGGGTGAGGGGGGGGGGGGGGGGGGCAGGGTCGAGGGAAGAGGCACCTTGCAACAGCTGGTCTCAATTATCCGTGGAGGGGCTGCTGAGTGTACAGGAGCATGTGTGTTTGCAAGTGTGTGTGTGTGTGTGTGTGTCTGTAAGGTTGAGGCATCGCAGACCACTGGCGCCAGGAGGGGAGCAAGAGGTCAGGGAGGATGAAGATTATAAAAATACTAGCAGGCAGTTGGCCTTGGTCCTGCCGGCGCACAGTGTGAGTGTGTGTGCTGGAAATCCATGCCTGCCACTGTGCCACAGGATGTGAATGACTGAGTGTGTGTGTGTATGTGCCCACATTGCATTGATGTGGTGAGCTTCTGCATACATCCTGTCAGAACTTTTCTGGTTGAGTAACATGGACTCATCCCATGTGTTTTTATCAATCATATGCGCATATAAGAAAATATCAATGTATATTTTAGAGTGTAATATATAGCTGACGGATCACATATAAATAATTTAAAAAAGGTACAATTATCAAAATAATGAAACAAATGAAGAAAATCCCAGTAACACAAGTTCCTGTTCTCCCACAAACCACTAAATGTATTTACAATATAATAATATAAAGTTTTGACAGATAAACATTGTATTTTTTTCCAAAATTGAAGCAACAAACCTGCAGTTTTTACAGGTGGCATTTTAATTGTATCATTAAGTTATCATCTTTCACCAGATTCGAGCTGTGTCTCAGTCCCTGGTCCATCTCTAAAGTAGTGGACAACACGAGTGTATGACGCTCTCTGGTGTGGAAGAAGTGTTATTACAGGATTACTATCCGAGAATCAGTCTCATTCTCTAACTCAGGGGTGTCCAAACTCTTTTCACTGAGGGCCACATCCAGAAAAATATACGAAGGGCTGGGCCACTCACTAGAGGTGAGGTATATTGCCTTATCAGTTAAGTTACAAGTTAGCACAATCAATCACATTTTGGAAAATTGTGATTGATACACTACTTGAATATGCTTTAAGAAAAAAACAGCCCACCATCGGGTTTTATTCATCTTGTTTGCAGTTATTCCTTAAAACAGAAGCCTCAGATTGCTTATAAGAGGAAATATGAAAGGTTTATTTCAAGCTTGTTATGTAAATAAGTTATTGGGCAAACTTAGATTTGTTTTCAACTTGAATTGTCTGAATTTGTTTGGAAAGTGGGATGACATGAATACTGTGTAATATATTTGTACATATACATGTAGGAAGTACAATATAAAACAAGCACAAGTTTCATTTGTGGGGCATATTTCATTATACTTTTTTAATTAGCTGAGAGCCGATTCAAAATGGCCTGCGGGACGCATTTGGCCCCCGGGCCATAGCTTGGACACCCCTGTCCTAACTGAACAAGAACAAGCTTCTCATTGGATTTATATTATTGAAAATCGTTAAATTAGTTTTTTGCAGCATTGCAACATTTACTCTTAACAAACCCTTTAAACATTCCTTCCAATTTTCGGTACACAACATTTAAAAAAGGAAATATTTATATATATATAATTTTGTGTTGTGTTGTAACAATGCTTTTTCGCAATACATCTTATACCGTTGGAAAGCCTGTTTTCTTACCTTTCCAATGGTACCACATTTGTGAGGAACAAGCATTTGTGGGATGAGCAGCAGAGCCGAGTAAGTGGGGTGTGCCCATGACACATCTGACAGATCTCCTCTGCCAATGCCAAACAGCTTTTTTTGCTGCTGACTCTAGTTGGGTGTTGTTTGGTGGATTGGAGGATTGAAGTCTGATAAATAAAGACATATTGGCAACAATTGATTTATTAACAATTGATTCATTTAATAAGCAGCCTCAGTAGCGTGTGGAAGAACCATAGGAAGGGTAAGAAAACAGTCTTTCCGACGGTATAAGATTTATTGCCAAAAAGCATTGTTACAACATAGAAATCATCTACCAAACACAAATTGCCTTACTTTTTGTTTTAAGTATACTTAACACAAAAATCATATGCGCATATAAGAAAATATCAATGTGTATACACACACACACTCTTTGATTTGAAGCTTAAGTGGAACATTTTAGTTTAAGACTTTACATGAAAAACTAGTATAAAGTAGCATTACATGGAAATACTCACAAAAGTTACCTCAGTACAGTACTCAAGGTAATATTTAGTTTACCACCTCCGCCAAAAACTCAACCAAAAACTATAGAACAACAGTCAAATTAAACAGTGAGGAATGATAATAGAATGTACACTTATATAACACTTATGTGGACAGTTTTCTTTACAATGCATACTCCTAGTGCTGTACCATTACTAGTAAGATTTTGAATATAAACACATTTTTTAAATCAAAAAATCTGTTTATTTCATTTAAGGTTATGAATATCTTCCATGCATTGCCAAGCTGCAGGGCAAATTTACGCACCCCTAAAATGAGAGTGCACCTGTATTCTCAACTTTACGGAAACACTGATGACTTTTATAAATCTCAATGCTTACTAAATACTGGAACATGATGCCCTCTGGTGTTCAAAAAATGTACTTACATGACAACATCTGAGAGAAAGAGTTTTATTTTCAAACACTTTTCAACTCCTTTCAATAGGAATACAAATAAATGTTTTTTTTTCCCTTGGTAAATTTTCCACTAGCACTGTTTTTTTTTTACACAATCAGCAAAATAAAACAACCAGCTATGAGGAAAGATCACATCACATTTTGAAGGGGGAAACATGTTTAGATGGTATCAAAAATCCCATTAAAAAACATTACACAGATCAATAACTTGAAAAAAACCCTAATGAACAACTTTAGCTACTTAGGAACAATAAATAAAGCAACGCATAACACATTCAACCAGAACTTAAATACATATATTTCAAAGAAAGGTCAAACCAAAGTGAGGTTAAAACAAATGCTCACTTTAGATGTCAGAATCTGTGTGCTCACAGAAACCTCTGACAGCAGCTATAACGTACTCAACCCTGGCAGTTTTGTGAAAAGAAAACACAATGTTGTTGGATGCTGTAATCAAATGCTGCCCTGAAATATACTGTGCACATGTTCAGAGTAAAACATTCAAATTGACCATGATTTATTGATCATAACACACAGGCATGATAGTAGAAAACAATAAACCAATTTAAAACTTGACCCCAAGTTTCAAATGTTAAGAGTCCAAAATAAAAACCTGATTAAAAATGAAAACTAAAACAAAAGATGTGTATGATATTGAGTGATCTGTGTAAAAACCCTGAGTAAAGGCCCTTAGTATGTAACAACTATCTTTATAGTTGAAAACTATTTATTTGGTCGTAGAAACTGTTTTAATTTTTAAACAGCTGAACTTTGGCTTTCTTCTGTCCATTCACAGTAGCACAGTTTACCTCCGTGGAGCCGCCACTCTCACTGCCCTCACCCTCATTGTTGTTCGACCAGCTGGGTTTCTGAGGCGTCAGCTCAGGTGCTATTATGTCTCCATCCTGTGAAGGAGAAGAGAGAAAAATATTGGATACCAAATACTGCATTCTCAAAAGGAAATGAAAATTTGAAGCATTTCCTTCCAAGCCTGCCGCCTCCTTCCATCCAATTTGGCCTTACAAGAAAACACAATGCTTAACAATGAATCATAATGCTAGAACTCCTAGTTAGTCCACCCATTACTGTAACAGGAATCTTTACGTAACTATGTGCAATAATAATTGTACAAATGTCAGACACCAGCACTCTACTGTGTCATCATTTTCTTTAAATATGATGTGCATGCCTTGTTATATAATAGTGTTCTATATCTGTATCTATACTTTGCAGTAACAATGTAAATTTCCCCTTTGCGGGACGAATAAAGGAATTCTGATTCTGATCATTTGATTGGAATTGGTAAAAAGTAGTGCAATATCCAAATTGCAGGAGGTACAATATTTGTTTAAGGCAAATAATACCTTCAAATATTGTTCTTAAATAAGTCATTTGAGTGCTGCAGAGAAGTCCCGGCCTACAAATCATGAAAAAAGTCCATGCAAAGAATTACAAAATGAAATTGAAACAAACACTACTTCTACATGAATAGTTAACCTGTGCAGTTCTTTACATAACATACATTTAAGGCCTCATACAACATGCTAGATGTATTTCCTACCACATAAAACATTTCCCAGTGCTTTGAAAACCATCTCTTAAATCAGCACATGACCACCAACTGTTGTTGCTCCCTCTTCAGTCTGCAGTGTCATAGCAGCTTAACATAATGTATTCACAATCCAGCTTAACAGGGCTAAGGGCTACTTGTGCCTAACACTCTTATAGGTATATCCAGCGACGTGCAGTCAGGGGAGGCAGAGCCTCACCTGTCATACTCATAGACTGGTCATACTACAATGTAACGGAAAAACAACTAAAGAAAAAAACTAAATAGTAATAATAATAAAATGTCTCCACTGATCTGTGTTGTAAATGTGATTTATGTATGATTCCAATCGCTTTTTATAGTCAAAATCAGCTAATTTTCCGAGCTCCGCTACAACTACGGGTAGCGATGGGCAGGGACGAGCTCTGTCTCACGTAAGCCCACAGTAACTTGCTCGAGCGCGGGCACTAATTTAGCGCGGGCACTTATTTTGTGAGCGCGCTCCAGCCAGTTACTGTGTGGTGAGGTGAGGCACAGATGAGCTCTGCCTCACCTCAGAATGCGTCACCCCACAGAAACTGGCTGGAAAGCGGGCCCTAAGCGCATGCCTGCACCATCTCACTGTATGTCACCAATGTAATGTTTGTAGATCCCTTTATTACATTTATCCTCGCCATCCATAGTCTCTAAATAACTTATTTCACGTATATATGATATTTAGGCTCGCCGTACAACGGCAATGAAAAAAGCACCAGGGGAGGCAGCCATAACCTCTGCCGCACTGAAGGGGGCGCAAGTGAGCCCACAGGTCCTTGTTGCTACTGTTATTCTACGCAGAGAAGGTAGACGCAAACAACAAACTAGACTTTTGAAACTACAGGAAGATAAGGAGGACTTTTACAAAAAAGTAATAGAGATTGTTGTCCAGAAGGAGAGCATGGACTTCATCTTCAAGTCAAGATAAGACCCCAATTGTAATGAAAATGGGATCTTACTAAGAAAGAACAATCCAATATTTAGATTGTGGTTAGCCTATCCTTTTGTTGAACGGTCCGATTAAAATGAATCGAAACATCAGACCAAAAAAGCTTTTGAAAATAACAGAATATTTCGATTAAGGTCAGAATATAATATTTGTAAATCTGACTGAAAGAGTCAGTGCCTCACCAGCCATGAACCTCACCGCACGTCACTGGGTATATCTTATCTTATTATAATTGTTTGTCCTTTCAGTTTAGGGTAGAGGCAAACTACCTAACTTATGTTCAACAACCAACATACAAATTATTATCACATCCGATTAAATAGTACCTGAGGCTTTGAGAGGTTCATGTTGATGCACCACTGGACAAAGTGTTTCTTGGCAGCCTCCAGACTCCTGTCGTCGGTCTTCTTGCAGTAAACCCTGATGAGCTGCTCAGCAAACTGCTCTGGGAGAAGTTTAGACACCTGGCAAGAATGACAGTTTACTTCGAGACATAAGCAATGACAAACACCTATGACAAAAAAACAAAACACAGGCAAAGACGGTTCAAGATTTGAATTCTGAGGTACAGAATTCTACAGTTCTGACCTGGTTCTTGCGGATCTGGATGGCTTTGGACAAGTCATCCTTGCAATAAAAACGCACATTGTTGATGGGGTTCTTATCCTTCATGCCATAGTCCATATAGATGACCTAAAGGGAAAAGGAGGGTTATATCTTAACATGTAGAAAGACTCACATTTTAAGATATTATAGTACAAAGTAGCTACAATTCATAACAATAGTATATAAATAAAGAATGTTAGAAATTAGATCAAAAACATACACTAACTACAAAGTCCTCCGGCTGCAGACTGCCATCGTTAGAGCCGCTCTGACGGAGGGATTCAGCCAGATCTTCTTCCCATTTGCGAATTGTCTCCTGAAGGGGAGAAAAAAGTAGATAAGTGAAGAATAATACATATTTTATATTGGCAGGGACATAACATCACCCGTGGACATATATAATAACGGTATCATATCAATGAAGGCTATTTCAAATTATATAAATTCAACCATTATATGCACAACTTCTGAGCTCGAATCTAATCTTTGTAATCCATTTTGCAATATCCATCAACAAGATCTAGTACTTTTGTAGTACTTTTACAGAAGATCATCTGAAATGATTAGTTATTTAACCATTCAAGAGATCATTAATTGTCAACAGTTTATTGTTGAAATGTGTCAAAAGCAAGGATAAAATGCTGCTCTCTTTTTTTTTTAATCAACGCATTTAATTGAGTTTTGTTGGACAAATGAAGCTTGAATTTTGAAGACCTCTGCGAAAGTGCATTTTTCCACATATTCTGACATTGTTTTAGAATCTATAATGAACGAATTAAAAAGATCATACCTCAAACATACATATGATGGATGAATCGATAATGGAAATATTTCTAGCTGCAGCCCTACATGGCAACTGAAAAACATCTCAGAACACATTTCTCAGAACACATTACTCACAAAACAACTAGCTCCTAAATGCTATATACACACACCGGGGTGACACTCAAGGGTTGTTCGGCCTGAGTTTGGCCCAGACATTTATAGAGGCGTCGACAGACGATGTTGCGTAGAATCTGCCTCGACTCAGCCAGCTCCGGAGAGGAGGAGTGGAGAATTCTTTCAAACACATGATCTACAGGCCAAACAGAAGAATATGACAGGTAACATAAAGCAAAACTAAGACACAAAAGTCACTAGTTCTTTTTTTTATACGTTATGAATGTGGCTGTCACAAAACAGGGAGTGTAGAGTGTGTATTCAAATATAGTGCAACATAAACACTAAGAAAGTCATTAAGTAAGTAAGTTAATGGGTAGATAGTTAATTGAAGAACACCATGCAACATAATGCAATAACATAATAAAGTGCTTCATAGAGAAAATATTTCTGAAGGCCAACCAGTAAACCGGCAACACCGAATGGCCTCAAAAAAAGCCAATGGGATTTTGGATTATTGCAGAAAATAAGCGATGAAAAACGGATACAAAATAACTATATTTACAAGTTTTGATCAGCAAGATATTTGTCAGAAATGAACATTGTAATTGAAAAACCCCACGGTTGCATGACTAGAACAAAACGTAAAACTCTTGTACACTTAACAACAGATTGTATTCCAGGCCTCCGAAAGCCCACTGACTTTGAGACAGGGGAGCAGGGCTTTAGGATTTGATCCTGCAGCTCTTAGTATACTGTCTGCAGCTATATTTTAAATGTGCACACAGTGGTTTCTGCTGACCTGTCAGCTTGGTGTAGGCCTCCATGTCATCTATGGCTGTGGAGAGGGTGAACTTCCTCCCTTCTGAGCCTTCAATCTGGATGTGCTTGTCTGCCTTTAAAAAGGCCTCTGTGATCCTGGATAACCATACCCAACATATTATTGTTGAGTCAAATTATCATGTAATCATTTATAAGACATAATATAAAGCTGGTATCTGATCTCTCCACAGTGGCCATATAAAAAGGCGGTCCAGATAAATCCTTCCTTTATGAAATTGTGGCCAACAAAAGGAAAGGCATTGATGTGGACAAGTGAGTAAGTATATATATTATGTCTTACACTCTGATTACCTTTTACTCTGTTAAATTGAATGTATGTCCTATATGTGTGGAACATAGGCATTTGTTTAGAATGGAAATGCCAGAAGGGTTAGAGGTGGGTGAAAGGTGGATTTGCAAATGGTTAAGGACTGGAGGGTTTTATGGTTTAATGGAGGGAATGTTTAGATAATGTCAAGGGAATTTATGGTAAGGTTTAGTTGGCTGCTTCCTTTCTTCTTTATGGTGGGACTGTTAGCTGTGTTCGTGGTGCAGAATCTCTTCATCCTCTGAGGATGAAGTTGCTCTGTTCCTGCATTTGAGATCGATTCAAATTTCCACCACAATTATCCGTAAAAAGAACTAAATTGTCAAGCAAAGACAGCAATCTACATCAGAGCGATTAGCTACTCACATAGTCTCTATGATGTTGCCCACTTTGTGCTGGTAGGCTCTTCTGTGGAGACAGTTCCTCGTGTGGAACATGTCATACAGATTGCCCACCTCCTGTTAAAAGAATGACCTGCACGTTACAACTAATCGTCTAAATGGATTGCAGTTGATCAAAAAGCAGATGTTACAAAGTCAGCACCTTGTCTCTAGTGCAGATGTGCTTCTGCCCGTCCACCTCACACACCCTGGCAAACTTTATGAAGCGGCCATGGTCAAAGTTGTTCTTGATGCCCAGGTGGTAGCAGTCCCTAAGGAAACAGAGGTCAGGAATGTGTACAAAAAAGGTGATTAGTTAAACTACAAAAAAAAGAATATTGATGTATCACTTGGAACATTATTATTAAAGGAACTAACAGCTCACCAAGCCCCACCTGGCAAAGTAATCCCATTTGTCCACATCAATGCCGTTCCTTTTGTTGGCCACGATTTCATAAAGGAAGGACTTGTCTTCTGGACGGCCTTTATATGGCCACTGTGGAGAGATCAGATAAAAGTGACATCGGAACCAGCTTTATTTTCCCAAGTATGTTTAACCATACACATATTTAACTCTGGTTCCCACTGGCTTTCATTGTTTGTACACAGCGCTAAGAAAAAAAGAAGATAAACAAATGTATCACGTAGCTCCTACTATGAGGTTAAGATGAATGAGCAGTATGCAGTCGATTAATTCAAACATTCAATCAAAATGCTTTTTATAACATCTTTGAGTCATAAATGTGTAAACACGGAGCTTAAAAAATATTAAGCGGAGTGATGCAAACAGACACACACACCATTAGAAAATTAAAGAGACTAGACACTACGGAATGTGTGTGTTTTGCCAAGCCCTGAAGATGGAACAGGGCAACAATGTTTTCTGTAACCGTGCATGACCACACACACACACACACACACACACACACACACACACACACACACACACACACACACACACACACACACACACACACACACACACACACACACACACACACACACACACACACACACACACACACCACACACACACACACACACACACACACACACACACACACACACACACACACACACACCCACACACACAACACACACACACACCACACACACACACACACACACACACACACACACACACACACACACACACACACCCACACACACACACACACACACACACACACACACACACACACACACACACAACACACACACACACACACACACACACACACACACACACACACACACACACACACACACACACACACACACACACACTTTCTAGAACAGATTACTAATCACCTGAAAATGGTACAAACAAGTGGCAACATGTGTGATGAAGGTGTTGCGCTGGGCTATATCATGCAATTGAAACTTAAAGGTGGGGTAGGTCAGTTTCAGAAACCGGCTCCAGTGCACTAAAATTTGAAAGTACACAGCCGAAAAGAATCCGCCCCTTCCTTCAGACTTCCTTACAGAGCACCTCCTCCAACACACATGAACGCGCACATGACGTCAGCAGACTGGTGAAAGTGGCCACCTGTTGCTGGCGAGTCATTGAAGTACTGCTGCAATGCACGCCCAATGACGGCACGAGATACATTTGTGCGTGCACGAGATGGAAGGCTGACAGACAAGGCGGCAATCCAATCCAGATTGGTTGTACTTTTTACAGTATTACGGCTTCCACAGATGACATTTTATTATGGATTTTTTGTCAAAGCACTTAAGATATTCATTGCTATCGGGATGTTAAGAGCATTCCATGGAATATAACAAAAAGTGTATCTCGAGCCGGTTTCTCAAACTTACCTACCCCACCTTTAAGCTCGTTCTATTGCGGAGATATTCCCGCGAGAGTGCGGAAAACTTAAATGTACCACACTTTGAGAAGCATTGCCTCATAAGTTCAGTTATAAGTTAGCAAAATCAATCAAATGTAGGTCAATTATGCTTGTGAGTGTTGGCAGCTCATCCCTTAAAACAGAAGCCTCAGATTGATTATAATAAGGAGAAATATGAAGGGTGTATTTCAAGCTTGATATGTAAATAAGTCATTGGGCTTTTTTCTTATCAACTAAGATATGTTAGAAAATGTTTCCAACTTGAATTGACTGAATTTATTTGAAAAGTGTTCTTATTAACACTTGAATACTACTGTATAATATATTTTTACATTTAAGAAGCACAATATAAGACAAGCATGAGTTTCATTTGTGGTCCATATTCTATTATGCTTTTTGAATTTGCTGAGGGCCGATTGAAAATGGTCCACGGGCCGTAGTTTGGACACCCCTGCTTTATACACAGTGGCTGTTTCATTGGCCTATTTCACACGGGCAGAAGTGGAACTACCTTCTTATCTTGAACTGAAACAGAGTTCGGTGGTCCAGCAATCTGTTCCTTAATGAAGTCCAGGTCCTCGGGCAGCACCAGGCCGTGCTGCTCCATCACCGGCTTCAGGCCATTATCCTTCACCAGATAGTCGAACATGCTCAGAGAGGCTTTCTCATGCTGTAACACAAACAGGCTGTTGTTAATATGGAAATGTGCATGGTCTCACTTTGAAAGTGAAAGTACATGACTCATTACTCAGATAGAAAGAGCTTATCGCAACTAAAACATGACAGGACACTTATCTAATCTCACGGTTGCTGGATGCCAGGTGTATGGTCATAACTTACATAATGACAGTGTGCCTTCTAGTTCTTATCAGTGATAAGACTTATCAATCTGAGAAGTGCTATCGATATCTAAGCCCTCAAATGGCCTACTGAAGACAAAGTACATTGTAATGGCATATATATATATATATATATATAGATAGATAGAAGAACTCAAGCTTTAACAATCTCCATAGGGAATGACTTAAAGACAGATAAAGGCCTTTTCCATTTACTTTTCAAAAATAGCCATCCAAATAGCCCTTTCACAGAAGGTAGTTATTATCTGCAGTCTGACTTTTCCATTTCTTCCTATTTTCTTCCCCAAAAAACTCTCGGTTTGTCCTTTTGAAAATATATTGGCAAAGCAGTTACCAACCTATTTTAAAAGCAAGGAATGTTCCGTTTCGAGATGTGACCAAACAAGCGTTTTTTTACGATTCTTTGTGGTAGCTCAGTTCAGTTGATAAGCGCAGCTGGACTTGTAAGTTGAAACTTTGATTTAAAGGGTTTTTATTTTATACTTGAGTGCCAAATCATTTTCTGATGAATCACAGCACAGGTTTTAAACCTCAGAAATTCAGATCTTAGTTATTAAGATGTCTAGAAGTGACTTCCCCAGACTGTCTGCATTTTCTTAAACTGCGAAAAAGTGGATTTAGACAATCTGCCTTTGTCAGTAATAACTGGAAATAAAAATATGAAGGCTTGTATAAAACTAATTCAGAGAAGTGTTCTTATTTTGCCTCAGTTTTATTTACCCTCAATGCATACGGCAAAAGAAAAGAGAAAAATAAATCTGATTGTTTATTACCTTCCAGGAAATTCCTGGACGTGCTGTGGGGATGAACTTGCTGTCGAACATATGGGAGAATGGCCCATGACCTGGATAGGGGTTGGAATGGGGGGTTACATCAAAAAGCTATTGACTGTGACATGTGTGAACTTTGCACTAAGCTGCTTGTGTGTTATTCCGAGGGGAATAGACAGGAAAAGGGAAGAATTTCACTTGCATTCTCCCTCATGCCCAACTTAAACTTAAACTTGTGAGCACCTGAACATCACTCACCCAGGTCATGGCAGAGCCCAGCGATCTGCACACAAAGGATGTCTCTGCGAGAGATGAGGAGCTCTGGCTGCCTCTCGTTCAGAGCTTCTACGAGCCGCCCAGCCAAGTGTCCCACTCTGTGGCAGCACACAATAAAACAATGTAGATTTACAGTAAGAGTTCAACAAACCATAACTAAAAATTAACTATATAAAGATAAAGACATGTTAGTGAAACTTTATGTAACATTTGGTTACACAATTTTCATGCATGTGGCCCCTTTAAAAAAAACTACAAATTAAACAATAACGATTTTTTAACGATTGTATGTTGAAATATATTCATATCATTCATCACACGTTTTTATTAAAGTACCAACATTTCCTTTTTAGAAAGTCTCAATACTTGAATACAGTATGTTATAGTAATTTTTTTTAAATTGCTGCTAGTCCCTTTTTAGCCCTGGCTGTGTACTAACTTGCCTTTATTTAAATGTTATTATTAATGTGTGCTTTGCTTCTCTGTTTATTATTGCTTGCCTTTTTGCCTGCCATGCCATGTTTGGTTGTAACACTGTGATTTCCCTGCTGTGGGACTAATAACCAAAAACTGATTCTAATGTCAGCCTATCCTTTCTAACATAGACAACATCTCTTGTCAACATATTGGCAGGTATCTTTTTCACAATACAAGTGTATAGAAAGCCTATTCCCAATAAGAGGGGAAGGGACAGAGGGCGGGTATTTTCCCCATGACATGCACTCTTGGCCAGTGCAATATAATATCCGATGAGGGCAATGTCCCTAATATAAATCCAGATTAAAAGATTACTGAGAGAAATATTATGTTTTATATTCGTCAGTTTCCTTTTATTATACCTCTATTTGACACTTTGGTGACTCAATGCTTTGCCAGTTAATGTGGTTTTATATGAGCCTATGATTCTATGATACGAGTTTTATTGATGCCTCATTATAAAACCCTATTAAATAAACCCACCAAACACATACCCAATGCTGTGTTCAAACCGGTTGTGGGATGCTCCGGGGAAAACATAATAGGTCCCTCCAAGCTGCTTGAGATTTCGTAGTCTCTGGAACTGAGGCGTGTCGATGATTTTGACGAGAAGAGGGTGCAACTCCACATGCCCGTGAATAGGATCATTAAACACCTGAAAGAAGACCGAACGAGACCATTCCTAATCAAAATATATAGCCAGTCTGTGTGTTTATCTTAGGGTGGTACGATGGTTTGAAGCCATTTTTCAACAAAACACATGGACAGAAAATGATATAAATAGATTTCACAAACTAAAGTTAAAAGAAGTCTTTACAATGTAAAAATCTATTGACAAGGTTAAACAATGGTTTAAATAGCAGGAAGTAAGGTGTCTCTGACATTTCCAAAAAAAGGGAGAAACCGGTCGGTTTTCATTTCACAATGTTCCCCTTAAGCTTATTTGCAGCTTGTGTTATTTTCACATTCTGTTTTTGAGGTATGGGTTGAGAACAAATATGGGCTAGGAGGAAGTATTTTGTGCACTAACCCCTTGTGTCTTTTCACACTTCCTTTCTGTTTATCCTACAAGTGCTTCTCTTTTTTCTTATCATGTCTTCTTTATCCCTTTAGCCTTGAAATGTAGCAAATTCATCACAATTCAGCTGGTGTTACCTTATTTGGCTCTGCTCCTGTCTGCCACAGCTTCCTGAAGCTATGAAGGATCTTCAGACGGTCACCAAGGCACCTGGGCAACACCGGATCAACAATAATAGAAAGAAACAGCATCGTTATTAGAGAAGTAATTTATGTTTACTTTGACAAAAGTGATAGTGGCCTTTTGGTCCCATTTCTCACTATGCCCATGACCATTTTCACAAATCTCACAAACACATACTTACTTTATACCAATCTTCTCCAGATCAGCGTCACTGAGATACCGCAGCCCAACACCTGTGATCTTTTGTGCTAGAAAACACAGGGGAAACACAATTAATGTTGGTTTTAATATTTTATTGTATTTATTCATTTTGTCTAATGTCTTCCTTTATTTTACGGAGAGGGATCATTTATTGTATTGTATTATCACACCTTTCACCTCCTTGTGTCCTTTGAACTGTTGTATTATCGTGTTATGCTGCGTGTGTGCAAAAGGGTTTCAACGTTTTGACCGGAAGATAATTTGTTTTTTTTGTTTTAATTTATGATGTGGGCCACCATGTTGTAAACGCACTTAGAGCTGCACCTGGTGTATGAAAAATGCTATACAAATAAAGCTTTAACAGTGGTGGGAGAAGTATTCAGATCTTGGACTTAAGTAAAAGTAGAACTACCAGAGTGTAGGAATACTCCGTTACAAAAGGCCTGTATTCAAAATGTTACTCAAGTAAAATTAAAAAAAGTATTTGCATCAAAATATACTTAAAGTAACACAAGTTAAATGTACTCCTTATGCAGATTGGTCCATTTTAGAATAATATATATGATATGTTTTGATTATAATTATTGATGCATTAATGTGTTTATCAAAGCTGGTAAAGGTGCAGCTAGTTTTAATGACTGTGTATACTGCAGGGTAGCTAGATGTTACTAGTCTTATTTATGTGTTGATTATATTTCAAATTATTAATCCAAATCTGCCAAGTAACTAACAGGTATTAAATGAAGTTTAGTGGTGGTCAATCTCCTCAACATTGAACTCGAGTTCAGTACATATTCTTAGTTACTTTACACCACTGACTGAGGACAGCAAGTTAGCATCATTTAGAAGCAGCTATCAACTGATCTACTGAATTCATATCAACAACAAGGTGAACAACAGTTTATTAAATAACCCAGAAACTAACCTTTAAATATATCTTCCCACTCTACGAGATCTTCTCTTCGCAGGTACTGACATGTTTCTTTCACTCCCCATCGCATGTAGTCGGAGTCCAGCAGCCGGACCAATGACACCCTTTTCTCCGGCGTTTTGAAGCAGTGGTTGTCGGTCACAACTGCCTCCAACTGCCGTTTTCTGTTCTCCATATTGGTCCGATAGACTCGCGGCAGAAGAGTAAAACCCTGAAAGATTACAGCCGGTAATGTTTCCCTTGTCGACTCCACCAGCTGATCGAGAAGATCTGCACAGTCTGGCGGTGAAAAATACCCGGGTTTTGTTTTTGTTTCGTCAACAAAAACTGAAACACAGAAACTGTTTCCGCTTGATAATTCCAAAATAAAAGCCTTTGGAACCGTGATTAAATCAGAATCAGAATTCCTTTATTTGTCCCGGAATATACATTATTACAACAGCAAAAAGTGCAGATAAAGTGAGGAGAAAGACGTTACACATTCAAAATTAACTAAGTACCTGCAGGTCCGCTGCAACTCTGACTACTTTTAAATCCAGGCTGAAGACTTATCTTTTTGTCGCTGCTTTTAATTGAACTATTCATATCTTAGACTGCACTGTAACTTTGATCCATGTACTTTTTTCTTTTAATGTTTAATTGACTGCACTGTAACTTTTATCCATGTATTTTTTCTTTTAATGTTTATTTTATTAGCTTTTCTTTTTAATGACTGATTTTAAATGCCATTTTCTTAATCTCGTTCATTTTTTGTAAAGCACTTGAATTGCCTTGTGTTGAAAAGTGCTATATAAATAAACTTGCCTTGCCTGCCTTGCCTTGCCTAAGTATGCACACGTAATTAATAATAAAAGAACACCATCAGTAAAAAAAACACTAATAGCAGACAAGAACATCATGGTAAAAAAGTAGCAGCTGTATTTGTTTTTCTTTTAAAGTGACCATATATAATGAAAGTAGTTAAACTATTACATTAAGCTTCATACGTTTACTTATATTATACATAGGCCTACATAATACTGAAAAAGTATTATACTCCCTCTTTGCACTATTTTTATTTTTGGACTTTTTTTGCTTTTATAAAATGTGCTGTTGATCAGCTTGAGAACCTGAATCTGTTTTACGATTTTATTTCAACACTTCGCTTCCGGTAAATTGTTCGCTGCTTGTAGAGAACTTGACGCAATGGGGGAGCACGCGGAAGGTGGAGCCAAATATAGTGCAGCGGAGGCCAGAGAAGTGACGCTAAACCCGGATTACGTTCAGTGACGACGATGGAGGACATGCAGTGCCGGTGTTGTGTCAATTTATGCACCCCCATCATGAAATGCACCCTTTGTCACGGGAACGCGCATTTCTAAATGAAACGTTTAGACCTTAAAACGAAGAATAAACGTCAAGGGTTTTTTTAATGGTAATTTTCAGACTGTGAGTCGTTTAGTGGTAGATCATAGTCTTGATTCTTGTGGTTAAACTTTTCGCTCCGTATTTTCATGGTAGTGGTGTCGATTTTACATTCATTCGTCACTTCTTTTTCAGTTATTTTTTTATTTAATATATGCTTTTTTAAAATGGTGATGTCCTGTGATACACGTGCTTTAAAATGTATTGTTTAATTTTACATATTTGTCATATAATAATCAAAATATATGTTTACAAATGTTACATAGTCTTTGTCAGCATATTTTTGCCACGTTATGCACCTGCTCTCTTACAAAATAAAAGGGTCACATACATGAAACTTGCTCCATTTATTGGTCTATGGTAGGCCTACTAGTCCTACAACCATACCCTAAAAAATGCTTGAGGTTGGGATTAATAGAAACATATTTGGGGGGGGGGGTGCTTTTTACGGCATGGCCTGGTTGTCACGATATGCACCCCCTTGCTATCTTACAAAATAAAAGGGGCCTCTTTATTATGTTTCACGGAAAGTTGGCTACAATCTACGATGCCTGAATCTCTCTTTGAAGTACCTGGATTCACCCTTGTTCGAGCAGACAGGGATGCGAACTCGGGGGAAACCAGAGGAGGCGGTATTTGTGTGTATATTAATGACCTGTGGTGCCGATCATACTCAGTCAAATGTAAAACCTGCAATCCCAACGTAGAAATTCTCGGCATGACGTTAAGACCCTTTTATCTCCTAGAGAATTCGGGTGTATTTTACTGTTTATTATTTACGTGCCTCCCAGCGGCAGAGCGTCACTGGCGGCCGGCTCCATCGCTGACTGTGTTCACGAGCTGCAACTCAGCCACCCCGATGCACCGGCAATAGTGCTCGGGGACATGAACCAATGTCGCTAGAGACTGTGTTACCATGGGTTCCAACAGTATGTTAAGGATCACACCAGAAAAGACAATATCCTGGACAAATGCTTCGTAAATGTTAAAGGAGCCTATGTGACTAAATGTAGACCACCAATACTGAACTCTGATCATAATGTTGTGAATATGATACCAGTGTATAAGACTAAACTGAAGAGAAGTAAACCGGAAACGAAAGCGATAAGGACATGGACAAATGAAAGTAGGGAACAGTTGAAAGCCTGTTTGGATTGGACAGATTGGGAAATTTTTCAGGAAGGTTCACTAGATGAAATAACTACTATTACCAATGATATCAACTTCTGTGTAGAACTAGTTGTTCCCACTAAAGAAATACAAATCCATCCAAATAATAAATCTTATGTGACTAAGGACATTAAAACCGTTATAAATACCAGGAAATTAGCTTTCAAAAACAAAGAGGAGCACTTAAACAGACAGAGAAAGAACTGAAAGTCAAATTGAGGGAATCAAAACTGGCACACAGAGCTTTTGGAAAATGCTTTTAAAGCCAAAAACCCCAAAAGGTATGGGACACCATGAAATCCATGACAGGAATGTCATCCTCAGCTAAACCTATTGTGACGAACAATGAATTTTGTTTTGCTAACGAACTAAACACGTTCTTTATCCGTTTCGAGTCACTAGATAATTCTGCAAAGTGCACTGAAATGCTCGAAACCATAATACCTGCTTCCTCTGACAAAATTACCATCAGTGTCGAAGAGGTCAGAAAAACATTTCAGTACACCAACACCAAGAAAGCGGCTGGGACGGTGCAGCGGTTTTCTGCTGAAAAACGTTGCTACTGAGCTGGCTCCAGTGTGGCAACCCATCTTTCAGGCTTCTATTGACACGCACACCATCCCTCTGTCATGGAAAACTTCACATATCAAACCGCTGCCCAAAATTCCATGCCCAAAAGAACATAAGGACTACAGACCAATAGCCCTCACATCAGTGATTATGAAATCACTAGAAATAATTCTGCTCCGTTTTCTTATCAGTACAACACAAGACAAACTTGATCCATACCAATTTGCCTATAAACAAGGGTGCGGTACGGAAGATGCTGTGGCCACTTTGGTTCACATCATCACTAAACATTTAGATACACGTAACACCTATGCAAGAGCCCTCTTCCTAGACTTCTCATCAGCATTCAACACAATACAAGCAGACATCTTGGTGTCAAAAATGGCCAAAATGGAAGTATATCCACACCTGATTTACTGGTATGCTGCTTTCCTCACTAGTAGAGAGCAACTTGTGAAGATTAACAAAACCCTGTCATCTGCCATCACAACCAATGTAGGTGCCCCCCAGGGCTGTGTGAGTTCAGCTGTGCTCTTTACACTGATGACTGTCGTACCAACACACCAAATCAAGTCATCATTAAGTACTCTGATGATACTGCAATAATATCTCTGCTCAGTAACACAGACGACCCTGAGCTGCACCAACAGGCTGGAAATCAGGTGGTTGAGTGGACTGATAGCAATGCTCTTGAGATCAACACCAAGAAAACTGAGGAAATCATTTTTGGCTCACCATCTGACTCCCATAAAGTCCCCATTGTCATCCATACAGATGAAATCAAGCAGGGAGTTTCATACAAATACTTGGGTGTAATGATTTACCATCTGCTGTCATGGAAGGATCACATTGAATATCTGTGCAAAAGGACAAAACAAAGAATTTATTTTCTCCGCCGTCTTAGAACTTTTGGGGCGGGCAGCCTTGTGTTGAAAGGTGCTATATAAATAAACTTGCCTTGCCTTGCCTTACAACCATACCCTAAAAAATGCTTGAGGGTTGGATTAATAAAAGCATCTTTTTTTGGGGGGGTTGTGCTTTTTACGGCAGGCCACGTTACACCCAATATGCACGCTGGGAGTAACAGAAACACATTTCACCTAATAGGATAATCTAATTTGAATAAAACCGTTATGCCTTAATCTTCAACACTTAATTTGAGAAATGCATACAAAAAGTCACTAATTGGGAACATTTATATAATTTATTCTAATTAAAACACCATAACATATTGAACATCACAACAAACAAGAAACAAGTAAACAAATAAATACTTTCAAAACTAAAAGTGCACTCAGTACCTTCATAAATTGTTGAATATAATGAAGATGGTTGAATCCACAGATAAAACACAGTTTCATTGAATAAATGAAGAAACGATATGTGGATATGAAGACTGAGCTTTTAAAACGAGTTTAACAATCAGTTGCATGGGTTGAAATGACAGTGGACAGTTAATGATGGTTCCTTCGGGCATTATGTGCATCCAGGTCACAAGTACTGTTGATCCACTGGAGGCCTTTGTACACATTGGTGGTGGTACCTCCGCCGACAAATGTCACAGCAAACCTGAGAAAACAATAAATACTTGTTATGTAAGGTATGCATTATGGGGTTTTCATGATAATATAATATCTCAATGTATTTACCACTAACATTCTAACCAATCCTTCAATTATCAAAATCTTTGAAAAACATAAATGTTGTGTTATGAGAAAGAAACATATTTTCAACAAAAATGGAAAAACAAGCACAACATTAATCCTTTATCAGTTAATGCTGAAGATGCCAAATATAGTAGCAATTACCAACGCAAATGTTATGTTGAATATGCTCATTTTTTTAAATTTGCAATGTGCAATAGGAAATTACCCAATGTTCTTCATCCTGCTCCTCCATCCCGCAGTAAAAGCAAAGCCTGCTTAGATCATATGTTGAGACAAAAAGTAATCAATATCTTCAGATAAACCACATAGCAGATTTGGGGTCAAGTTGACCCATTCAAATGTTTGACTAAAAGGTAAATTATATAAGGACACATTTTTTTGTGCAGGGTGGTCTTTTATTATTTTGTGTGAAGAAAAGGCAAAACACACACAAACACAGAGCACATTGAAAGGAGGAAGATGGGGAAACCTCACAACCGCCGAATTGAAAGGGTGTGTTTGTAGAGTGTGA